ATGACAGCAACTACAAGCCAATGAAAGTTGAAGATCTGATGAAGAGCAGTGATTAGTACTTCGTAGAGTGAACTTTTAATTATTGTTATAGGAACTTATTGCTACTGTTTTTAACAATATAGTTTTGCTATGCATGTGGCTTTAGCTGCATGTTTTTGCTGCATTGATTTTATTATTATCTTTTAGTTTCATAGTTTAATTTAATTTTAATGCAAGAGATTTATTGCACTAGGACAAATTGCACACTAAGCTAAATTCAGAGTTAACATCAACAATAATAGAGTATAGCATTAGCATCAATTGGTTAGTATAGTACTGTTCTGCCAGTAAGTTGTAACGTCAAAATTAAATATAAGATTAGATTAACCATTACGTAGTTTCTAATATTTATGAATTAGCACTATAATCTGCTACAGTGACTTAGTGAGGGGGAGAGGTATAATTTTCCCTCTTAAAAAGGAGAACTCTCTTCAAGGGAAATATTTTGAGTAACTTAAAAAATTTGTAAATAATCCAATTTTGATTGGAATCAACTTAAACTTTTTTACACAAGATAAGTACATAGATATACATCAGGAAAAATTATAAAAATAAAGAATTTTCTACTTTTCAAATTATTAACCAAAGTTCCTGTACTAATTAAAGTACAGGGACTTCAGCCCGGTTTTTGAGAAACTTAAGAAAACCAAATTTGATTGGAATGAGCCCAAACTTTTTACGCAACATAAGAACATGTATGTGTATCAGAAAATATCATAAAAATTGACAGTTCTCTGCTTTTTAATTTTGACGAAATTTGGCTGACCCTGTACTACTATAGTATAGGGACTTTGGCCCGATTTTAGAGTAACTTTAAAAATTTGCAAAAATCCAATTTTGATCAGAATGAGCTCAAAATATTATGCAACATATAACAGTACATGTATATAAATTTAATTATTATATTTATTTTTGAGCTGGCCACACCTTTAAAGCACACCCCATTAGTTCACACGTACCTCAAGGTAGATCTGCTTTGCATTTCTGGTGTGTGGAGTGTTGCAGTCTACACAAGTCACCTTGTTCAATTGAGATCAGTAACTTATTAGTCTGCAGTACTTCTCAAGTATACTCTGGTCTAGTGTCCCTTCATATACTGACTGATGCACATCATGTACCTGGTGAGTGAAGAATAATAACACTATCACTGAAATCAATATATTCATTATATCAGGGATATAATGAATATATTGATTATATTGAATATATTAAATATATTAATAATATTTTATATTGATCCCTGATTATATCATACACTGTCTGATTCATAAGACTATCTAGTGTCTGTAGTACATATTGGTAATGGATACTTATTAGTAGATGCAATGTCCAATAAGTGTGGGTTGTCATTCATTGCTTGACTGTTGGGTATCATAAATGTAACCTACAATAGTTTATACAGGAGCATGCATGCAATTTGAAATAGACTACTGTACTGGGGGATATTTTGTGCAATTTGCCAATTTAAAAAGGTCAAATAAAACTCGTCCA